CTGACACAGAAGTTTACTGTAAAAGTTCACTGGTAAGATAGTATTTGGACCTTGGAAAATATTTCCCCACCAGAACAGTGAAATCATGGTTGTCTTCTAAGCTCATCCACAGAGTACAGTTTGACTGTCATGCATTTGAGAGACCATGCGCGTATCATGAGATATGACTGAGACGAACACTCTTGCCCACCAGTAATGGTGCAAAGCAGAAACGTAGGGCATTTAGCTGCAAGAAAATGGCTATAGATGCAACTGTGAGGTGGAAGGAGGTGGGTATGTGGTAGGTCTTTAGAACACCAACAGGTTGCTCTAGAAAACAACCACTACACAGGTAACAACCAGAATGCCTGTGGTGGCGGGCGCCTGTAATCCAGCTACTCGGGAGGCTGAGGCAGGACAGGTACTTGAACCCGGGAGGCGGAGGTTGCAGTGAGCCAAGATCGCACCACTGCATTCCAGCCTGGGTGACAGAACAAGACGATCTCAAAAACAAAAAAGAAACAAACAAACAAAAACCCACTCCAACCAAACCCTTCTCCCCCCGTGCACTCTCCTGCATCCTTTATGCCTTAAGACCACACGTTTTGAGCTTGCCGAGCTGTCAGAAGTCAGTGGCGAGGTGGGACGCAGATGCGCAGCCTTCAGTCACTGAGAGAAAGAGAAAAAGAAATGTCAGCCTGAGCCTCCTGAGCTCCCTTCAGCCACCAGCACAGGTGGAGAGGGGAAGCGTTCCTACAGCCTGCGCTTGTGGGTCCTTCCTCTCCCAACTCTAGCAGCGCTGCAGAAGCTGCAAATTGAAAACTGCATTAGGTTAAGAGCCTTTTATAGAAATGTTCCATATTTTGCTGATACATATATTAGTATTAGTGATTAGTCAAATAAACGCTTATTTAAAATTCATAGTAGTAGCATGTTATCCTTTTTTTTTTTTCTTTTAGAAATGGGGTCTTGCTCTGTCACCCAGGTTGGAGTGCAGCGGTGTGATCATAGCTCACTGTAGCCTCCAACTCCTGAACCCAAGCAATCCTCCCACCTCAGCCTCCTGAATTGCTGGGATGCCACCATGCCTGGCTGATTCTTTTATTGTAGGGACAGGATCTTGCTATGTTACTCATGCTGCTTTCAAACACCTGGCCTCAAGTGATCCTCCTGCCTTGGCTTCTCGAAGCGCGGGCTTGACAGGCATTGAACTGCCGTGCCCAGCCTACGACTTTTCTTAGCATTAATCTCTGTCATTGCAAGCTGCCTCTCACGTCCTTGCCTTCATTCTGCGTTGTTTTGGTGGAATGGCCCGTGCTAGCAGACAGCACCATCTGGTCGACCTTGAGTGTCCCTTCCTGTCTGCAGGGAAGGTTTCCTGGGCATTGCCTCGTTTTCTTTATACACCGGCACGGTGCAGCTCACTGGAACGAGTTTGCAAGGGAGCATCTGTGATAGCATCATGATCAGATGAGACGTAACGGGCATGGGTCCTGGTCACGGTTAAGGACCTTTATGCTCCTGATTCCGCTGGGTGCCTTCTCCTGGTGACGGCTATGCACTTATGGAAACATGGGCTTGCTGGTGTCTTCTAAGTCCTCTGCAAAAACAGAGCCCAGGTCAGCTACGGTGACTCATGTTTGTAATCCCAGCACTTTGGGAGGATGAGGCGGGAGGATTGCTTGAGCCCTGAAGTTCAAGACCAGACTGGGCAACCCAGTGAGACCCCATCTCTACAAATAATAGTAATAGTAATAAAAAAAAAAATTAGCCAGGCGTGGTGGCGTGCATCCATAGTCTTGGGAGGCTGAGGTGGTAAGATTGCTTGAGCCCAGGAAGTTGAGGCTGCATGAGCTGCGATGGCACCACTGCACTCCGGCCTGGCAGGCAGAATAAGAGCTTGTTTCAAAAACAAACAGGTCGGGCATAGTGGCTAACATCTGTAATCCTAGCACTTTGGGAGGCTGAGATAGGTGGATCACCTGCGGTCGGGAGTTCGAGAACAGCCTGGCCAACATGGTGAAGCCCTGTCTCTACTAAAAATACAAAAATTAGCTGGGCATGGTGGCGCATGCCTGTAGTCCCAGCTACTCGGGAGGCTAAGGCAAAAGAATCGCTTGAACCCCGGAGGTGGAGGTTGCAGTGCGCCGAGATCACACCATTGCATTCCAGCCTGAACAAGAGCAAAACCCCGTCTCAAAACTAAGCAAAGACGCACCCCAAATGAACAAAAAAATCCAAGGCTCTTAGTTCCAAATCTTGCCCTTTCCCCTGACATCTTTAGGTGAAAACACTCTTTCATCATCAGTGTGTATCTCTGCAGACCTTATTTATAACTTGTCCTGGAATGTTGAATGCGCAGACCCACTCCAGTGTCTTGGCGTTCCTTCTTTCCTCCCTACCCCTCCCTCTTCCTCAGTCTCTCATTACTGCGTTTTCTTCTATTAATCAACACCTCTGTAAGGAGAAGCACTCGGGCAAGCTCCCACGAGCAAGTGCTTAGGAATACCTCATTTGGGGCGTTTTGAAAGGGCTGCCTTTTCCCAGCAGGTTTGGGATGCAGCCTGCTAGTTTATTGTTAATTCCCGGGCTTAGTGATAGTTCCAGGTTACCGAATCGGGTGTGATCGCTGATCTGTGTGTTGTAGGTTAGCTAGTTAAGGCTGCCGTAACAGCATAGACTGGGTAAGTTAAACAACGTTGATTTATTTATTTATTTATTTATTTTACAATTCTTGAGGCTACAATTCTGAGAAGAACGTATTGACAGGGCCGGGGCCTCCCGAGGCCTCTGTCCGTGGCCTGTAGATGCTGCCTTCCTGTGTTCTCACGTAGTTGTCCCGCTGTGTGTGTCTGTGCCCTCCTCTCAGAAGGACTCCAGTCCTGTTGGACTAGGGCCCACTCTAGTGACCACATTTGACCTTACTCACCACTTTATATGCCCCGTCTCCAAATGCACTCACATTCTGAGATCCTGAGGGTTTGGACTTCTGCATATGAATATGGGAGGACATAGTTCGTCCCATAGCACTCTGTTCGCTGGTTTATTGCGAGACCATGATATTGACTCTTCATTCATTCCAAGACAATGAGACCTTTATCCATTTCCCAGGCTGCACATACTGTAACATCTGTTGTCTGAATGTGTCCCTTCCAAATTCATGTATTGAGACAGTAACCCCCAAAGCTATGGAATTAAAAGGGGGAGCCTTGGGGGAAGCGATGAGATCGTGAGGGTGAAGCTGGCGAATGAGACTAGTGCCCTCCTCGGTGAAGGGGCTGAGGGAGCTTGATCCCCTGGTCCATGGGACGACACGGCGAGGACCCCCCTTCCCTCAGGAATGCGCCCTCGCCACACACTTCATCAGCACGCACCCTGACCTTGGACTTCAGCCACCGGAAGTGAGAGGAATACGTGTTTCCTGTTTGTCAGGCCCCCTAGTATATGGTATTTTTGTGATAGCAGCCAGAATGGACTAAGACATCTATGTAACATCTATGTAGTTTATATTTTAATATCCATCTATATGCTTATCCTAATACCTGATAATACACCTATCTTAACATGTACACGTGTCTTAGCATCTACCTGTACCGACGGATTACCATCTGGCTATATGCAGACCTCAGCACCTGCCTATACCCACAGAGTAACAGCTACACACCGCATAGCCTAACATCTGTCTGTATGCACAGCTTACCATCTAACGCATACATTAGCATCTGTCTACACCTGTATATCAACATCTACCTATAACCATATCGAAATATCTATCTACACCCACAGAGCAACACTAGTCTACATCTGTCTACACCCATATCCTAACATCTCTCTGTACCGCTATGAGAATGTCTGTCTACATTCATATTCTAACAGCCATCTTTACGTGTATATTAACATCTGTCTACACCCATATCCTAACATCCATCTACCCCCATATATTAACACCTGTCTACACCCTTCTACACCCATATCCTAACATCCATCTACACCCGTATATTAACACCTGTCTACACCCATCTACACCCATATCCTAACATCCATCTACACCCATATATTAACACTTGTCTACACCCGTCTACACCCATATCCTAGCATCCATCTACACCCATATATTAACACCTGTCTACACCCTTCTACACCCATATCCTAACATCCATCTACACCCATATATTAACACCTGTCTACACCCTTCTACACCCATATCCTAACATCCATCTACACCCATATATTAACACTTGTCTACACCCGTCTACACCCATATCCTAACATCCATCTACACCCGTATATTAACACCTGTCTACACTCATCTACACCCATATCCTAACATCCATCTATACCCATATATTAACACTTGTCTACACCCGTCTACACCCATATCCTAACATCCATCTACACCCATACATTAACATCTGTCTACACTCATATCCCAACCATCTACACCCATATATTAACATCTGTCCACACCTGTCTACACCCATATCCTAACATCTCTCTGTACCTGCATATTAACATCTGCCTACACTATATTCTAACATTTGTCTATATCCGTGTTGTAATATCCATCTACACCCATATCCTAACATCTTTCTATAACTACATATGAACATCTTTCTACACATATATGCTAACATATCTGTATTCATATTCAATACCATGTTGTAACGCTGTTTACACCTGTGTATCAGCCCCCATCTCTACCCACGTCCTGACATCTGTCTCTAAGCACATTGTAACATCTAGGTGTGCGTGCATTGTGACACCTGCGTATACCTGTATGTTACCATCTGCCTTTACCCGTGTGCCGCTATGTGTGTGCTCCATGTCCTGACATGTGTCGGGAGCTATTACTCTGTCTGTACACACATGTTGGTGTGTAGGTGTACCTGTATCCCAACATGTACCTCACAGCGTTCCCCCTGCCCCGCCCTGGCGGGGCCCTGAGCGTGTGCTGACCCCCAGGCAGTGTGGTGCGCGCTGCCCCGGCCTGGCGGGGCCCTGAGCGTGTGCCGTCCCCACAGGTTCTGGACGTGGCATGACGAGCGCTTCCTCTACATGCTCATGGAGTACGTGCCGGGCGGCGAGCTCTTCAGCTACCTGCGCAACCGGGGCCGCTTCTCCAGCAGCGCGGGGCTCTTCTACTCAGCGGAGATCATCTGTGCCATCGAGTACCTGCACTCCAAGGAGATCGTCTACAGGGATTTGAAGCCGGAGAATATCCTGCTGGACAGGGATGGCCACATCAAGCTCACGGACTTCGGCTTCGCCAAGAAGCTGGTAGACAGGTAGGAGGAACGCGGACTGCGGGGGGATCTGCGCCGCTTGGCAAGGACAGAGGTCATGGGACTGGCGGCAGGGCAGGCAGGGAAAGCTCGGGAACCAGAGTTTCACTCCCACGTGTGGGGACACCGGCGAGCAGGGCTGAGAGAGCCGGGTGTCACCCACCCCTGTCTCTAGGTGGGCTGTGATTGCTGGCAAGGCGCCGGTGAATACCAGGTCACTCTCCCTCACCCCCACTGTGGAGGAAACCGGAACGACACACTTCCGTTGCTGATCCGAAATGATGAGGAAATAAATGATATGCAAGTTTGAGTTGCCCCGAGTATGAAATAGGTCTGCACTGATTAGCATGCACTATCTCTGAAAATGAAAGGCCGGGTGCCGTCGCTCAGCACTTTGGGACGCTGAGGTGGGACAATCACTTCAGCCCAGGAGTTTGAGACCAGTCTGGACAACATAGTGAGACCCCCGCCTCTACAGAAAAAATAAATAAATAAAAGGGTTTGGCATGGTGGTACATCCCTGTACTCCCACCTACTTGTAAGGATGAGGTTGGAGGATCATTTGAGCCCAGGAAGTCGAGGCTGCAGTGAGCCGTGATCACATCACTGCACTCCAGCCTGAGTGAAAGAGCAAGATCCTGTCTCCAAAAAAAAAAAAAAAAAAAAACCAAATTGAATATTTCACACATAACTGCTCATACACAGGCATTTACTTTTTTCTGGTATCTATATTTCTATTATGTATATATATATTTCCATTTTATATGTATATTAAATAGAAATATATCTAATACTATATTATTTTATATAACAAGATAAAGTATATTTTATATACATATGATATGCTATTATATATGTATAGAATACATTATACTATGTATTATACAGTATCATATAGGCATGCTATATATTATTATACTATTATACATATAAGGTTTAAGGGGACACATTTCGGCCTTGAACAATTATATATAGATATGTTTCCATACATGCGTATACTCCACTGAGGAGAAAACAGTTATCCTTCTGTTTTGTTTGTTTGTTTGCTTTTTTGGACGAACTCTTGCTCTTGTCACCCAGGCTGGAATGCAGTGGTGTGATCTCGGCTCACTACAACCTCCACCTCCCGGGTTCAAGTGATTCTCCATCGTCAGCCTCCCAGTAGCTGGGATTATAGGCACCCGCCACCATGCCTGGCTGATTTTTGTATTTTTAGTGGAGATGGGGTTTCACCATGTTGGCCAGGCTGGTCTCAAACTCCTGACCTCAGGTGATCCATCCACCTCAGCCTCCCAAAGTGCTGGGATGACGGGCGTGAGCCACCGTGCCTGGCCCCAGTGTGTCGTCTTGTATCTTTGACCCCCTCCCACCCTTTCCGCCAAGTCCTTGCAGTCTCTTGTATCATTCTTATGCCTCAGCGTCCTCATAGCTTAGCTCCCAGTGGATCTTTAACTGACATTCATAAAATCGACATTCATAAAAAGCAAATTCACACGCCCAAGCTCCTGAAAAATACTCAGAAAGATTTTTGGTAACTACACTGTCAGTTTTTCTATTAGATTACATCAATTAAGGTAGAATTAGATAGTGACATCAGTTCCTCTGTAGACAGGCTACATTTCAGACACCCAGGATCGCACATGGCTAGCGGCTTCTGTCTTGGTCAGGCAAGCCTAGAAAAGCATCTTCTGTTTTCGTATTCTTTGATGTGGTGGGGTTGGGTAAGGTGATAATTACACTAATTATACTCCTCACATTGTAGAACCGTCTGCATTTTTGAGAAACTTGATATGGGGACAGTCTCACACTAAATGACTCTCTTCTCTGGTGGCTTTTAGAAAAGGGCTTTCCTAGGAAAATCTTATGATGCATTTAAATTTCATCTGATTTTCCCCTGGAGAATTTCTTGTGTTACATTTCCAAAAATAAGGCACATGAAAATTAGGTGCATTTTACATGGAATAGGAAAGGCGCAGGAGTTTTTAAATAGTGGTTTCTAGCATCCGTGCTGCCCCCTCTTGGCAGCACACGGTATATTAGTACATTCTTTGTAAGTCATTTTATTTGCAAGTCTAATTCAAACAAAACAGAGATAAAATATTTTATATATTTATTTGTTTATAAGTTTGACAAACCATATTGGTGTCCAGTGAATTCATGATGCCTATTTAAGATTAAATGAGCCGGGCGCGGTGGCTCAAGCCTGTCATCCCAGCACTTTGGGAGGCCGAGGCGGGTGGATCACGGGGTCCAGAGATCGAGACCATCCTGGTCAACATGGTGAAACCCCGTCTCTACTAAAAATACAAAAAATTAGCTGGGCGTGGTGGCGCATGCCTGTAATCCCAGCTACTCAGGAGGCTGAGGCAGGAGAATTGCCTGAACCCAGGAGGCGGAGGTTGCGGTGAGCCGAGATCGCGCCATTGCACTCCAGCCTGGGTGACAAGAGCGAAACTCCGTCTCAAAAAAAAAAAAAAAAAAAAAGATTAAATGGATGAAAATGGTTTCGTGTATAACATGTAGCAATTATTTTATTTCATGAACTTGTGAAAATCCTAGGAAATGCCTCATTACCATCTTGATATATTGCTTTTACAGAGAACTGCATCTCACCCTGTATGGGTAGTGCAGCTTCTGAAAACTGTTTTTTGTGCTGCTTTTTTCTCCTTTTCTTTTGACCTTATGAGCCTCTCTTCTAGCCTGGCCCCAGGGAAGTTGTATTCATGGGGGCAGAGACATGGCCCTGCCTCTGGTTCAGGATTCAAACAATACCTATGCTTTTTGAATAAAACTTCAAGGAAATTCACTGTACTGTGGACCACTACCGAATAGATGGACCTAAACAGGGAGGCTTCATCTTGAATAGCTTTTTTTTTTTTTTTTTTGGAGTACAGTGGTGGGATCTTGGCTCACTGCAACCTCGGCCCCCTGGGATCAAGTGATCCTCCGATTTCAGCCTTCCGAGTAACTAGGATTACAGGCATTCACCACCACACCTGGCTGATTTTTGTATTTTTAGTAGAGATCTGGTTTCCCCATGTTACCCAGGCTGGTCTTAAACAGCTGGCCTCAAGAGATCCACCTGCCTCGACTTTCCAAAGCGTTGAGATTACAGGTGTGAGCCACCGCGCCTGGCCTTGAGTAACATTTTCGAATGTATCCCAGAAAGAAGTGTGTTTCTCATTTTTCTCATAAGCATGGGGTAAAAACATACTTAAGCATGTTGTAATTAAGTATTCCAGCCTGCTGTGTGTCTGTGAATAAAGCTGTGTGTCTGCTAATGAAGTTCCAGCAGCGGATGGAGGGGAGGGTTGAACACTGAGGTTGATACTTACTGCCACCAAACCACACAATTAAAAATGCTCAAATGGAAAATGCTATGATTGTGTGTTTTACTACAATAGCAAATTATACATATAAAATCGTAATTATGTATATAATTACAAATAACTATATAATTGTAATATTTCATTATACATAAATATATTAAATTTATATATTTAAATATATTTATCTCTTTAATACATTAAATATTTTAATATGTTCACATATAAATTTAATATATAAGGATATCAATGTAATGTTATTTACTAATGTAATGTATGTATATATTAATATATAATCATTAATATATTAATATAACATATTAGGATTATGATAAATATAACAATTTTTAATTAAACATAATTTTAAAATAAGTCATATTTAATACAATTAAATATATAATAAACTGAAATAATTTTAAACTTAATATTACATATTTATATAATAAACGTAACTTCCAAATTATGTATGCTCCTAAATTATGATATAAACATATATTTAGAAAGTTATATGTAGCTATAATTATACATTATTATCCATAGTTTTATATATATAATATTTAAATTTATATATTAGTATGTGTTACCCATTTACTGTTTAGATTGTAAATTCAAACTTAAATGTATATATTTATAAATACCTAATTGTTTTCTGTATATTTGGTAATACCAGAAAAATGTTTCTAGTTACTTCAGACCTTTTCCCTCAGCTTCGTACTTTGAGTATTTCACAGAAGCCCAGGAGGACCTGAGGTGTCAAGTCTTAAAGACTGTTTGTAGGTGGCATCATTACTTTCCCTTGCGCCCTGTTTAATTTTGCTGGATTTCATACGGGAGGTGGTTATTCCTGTGCCGAGGTTGGTCAGTTGTGTCTAGGAGCCATTGTCACCGAGGAAACCCCTTGCTGGGCTTGGGCTGGCCATCAGAAGCTGTCCCGTGCTCGCAGACATGCACCTTCTCCTTTGACAGGCCTGAAATTCTCAACTGTTTGCTCCCATCCGACAGTTCTAGGAACTGTGATTGTGTCCCCCGAAAAAACAATGACAAAAAACTTCCCTTTTTATGAAAAACCCCACACCTTGCTTCTTGATTGTAGCCCAAGATCCCATAAGGAAAGGCAATGTAGGATTTTCACCATGAGTACAAAGCTAACATCTATTCCTGCATTACCAAACCTACACGCAACACTGTCTCATACTTTTCTGATAAAAAGGAAAAAAACTGCGTTTGTTTCTGTACTTGTGTAAAACCTCTTTCATCAGCTGTCCTTCCTGCTGAGCCCCACCGTGCCCCTGTTAGCTGAGTGACATGCTCACCACGTCATAAACACAGCCATGAGAAGAGACAGAAAGTGATGCTGCTAGGAAGGACCGAAGAGGGACTTGACTCATACCCAACTTGGAGATGTCATCCAGTTCTCTCTCTCTCTCTTTTTTTTTTTTTTTTTTTTTTTTTTGAGACAGAGTCTCACTTTGTTACCCAGGCTGGAATGCAGTGGCACAATCTCTGCTCACTGCAACCTTCACCACATGGGTTCAAGCGATTCTCCTGCCTCAGCCTCCCGAGTAGCTGGGATTATAGGCACCTGCCACTGTGCCCTGCTAATTTTTGTATTTTTAGTAGAGACAGGGTTTCACCATCTTGGCCAGGCTGGTCTTGAACTCCTGATTTCGTGATCTT